ACGACGACTCGGTCCGATCGCGGCGCTAAATTTGGCGCGCATTTGCGGAGACTTGAGGCGCAAAACAAGTTTCCTCGATCGGTCCGGTCGCCGGTATATCCCTATTAGATCAGTCACCTCGCGAACGTGCGAGAGAGAAAACGAGAGAGGGACAGATCCTGTTTAACCTAAACCTTGAAAAGCTGCAAGCTTGACCCAGTAAGTGGTAAGCCGCCAATGAGCGACGATATCCCACAGCCACGCGTTAGTTTATGCGCACATCGTTGAACCCGTCTTCCTATCTTAGACTTAATAAATCTCCGACTTAAGTCGCAATTAGCAGAGTGACCGTAGATAATCTTAATGATCGCGCGGCGATTTACATCCTAACGGTCGTCGGTGTAACAAATACGAGTCCACAGCCGAGTCACGAGCATTATCACCGAGCGATAACTATTATCCGTTACCGTATCGTATCGTAGTTATTAGTTTTATTATTAAGCACTCAGCTGAATCATATCGACAATAATAACTACCATTGCGCAGTGTTCGTCGTTCGCCGGTAACGATAAATCGCCTATGTTTACCCAACCGTTCAAGGCAGTCGACGTACGATCGCGCGAGAGATCCGGCGGTTATTATTACTCAAGTGGTTCCTCCGACTTTAACCTTCAATAGGATCACAGTCTACATTCCTTCGTTAATGTTCAAGCGGTATTGAAACAAACGACAGGGAGAAGCTGCTCGAAAACAGACTCGCCCGCTATCGCGAAGGTTCGAGTCAAAATTTTGGTTCAAGATTAACCCTGAGAATTTTCCCCGTCGAATTTGAGAAGAAAATAGAGAATTTCAAGGTATAACACTTTACAGATTATTATCTTATCTTGGTGTAGCAAATGATCGTTTACTGAATATAAATTTCTAATTAGTTATGTTCTCAATCTTTGATTGATGTGTTAATTGCGCAACTTAACTTATCTGCAGATAAAGTATGCGCGATAAGCAAATATGAAATAATTCATATAAGTAAATAATGGGATGTAGCAGATAAACGGTAAATTTTTCAATTTGCAATCCTTTCCTCATTATTTTTTTAATTAGCGTTTCGGTATAATTTGAATATTCAAATGTTGTGAGCAAGTAGTTGCAAGGGCAAAGATAGCAGTTGTGCGTCCAATAATGTAGCGCACCAACAGAGATTTAAATTTAGATTCGGTATAATAACAAGGCTAAACAGAAGTAAAGTAACGAAGACGTTGGCACATTCGAGATAGAACTTACGACTCAAGAGGTATTATTAGACAGGCACAAAGTAGCGTTCGCGAGACCTACGCAAAATTCTAAGGCCTATATTCATTGTTATAATATAATTATAATTAATAAAATTAATACAATTATAAATAATCTTTTTGATTGTGTGAAAGCATAATTAATCATCTATGAGTACTGGTGTAAATTTCGGCTTAGGAATATTTCCTTATTCTCGGTAAGTTCGTGAAAACCCCGTTAAAGTCGGAAATATGCCGCATAATGATAATTCGACACACCTGTAAATATGATATGTCAATATCTATGCCCCGGTATCCTAAGTTCTGACTTTCTGATCCAGCATTTTGCTCCCGGCTATTTCGTCGTGGCACTGATAGTACAGGCACTGACACTCGCGTAGATACAATTTGTTGGGAGAAACGCGCATGAATTAACGTGATGATGACGAGAGTCCGATTACAAGATTATTTCAAGAGTCGTCGAAATAATTTCATCATTGGAATTGTAAATAACATACCAATACAAACCAATATATAGTGCTCCATGTCGCAGTATGCGTGTTGTTTGTGAGACGTAATAATTCGACGGAAAAGTACACGGCATATAGAAGCCTCGAAAAGTATTCGGCAAAAAAGGCAATCACCTACCACCAACCGTCAACTGTTTGTCACCCGCCGAAATAACATGATATTGGTAGCCCAGAGATCACAACATTCTCGAAATATTCTGCAAGTCTTATTTTCAATTTAGTCAAATATTCATTTCTGCTATTCACTTTTGTTTAAAGAATTTATTAATGCAGAACAGAAATTTCGAATCGGGGTCGTGAGTGACGAGCGACTTCTTCTGTCCGCCTTTGCTTTGCAAACGTCTTCCAGTTCACACGGTCAGGGCAAAGGGCAAAAAAGCGCCGTGCACGAAGGAATGTAAAAAAAGGGCGTGAGGGCGGAGATCCGTTTGTGTCATCTGCCTTTTGGCTTGGGAGAATGCCGAGCGTCGCACTCCCTCGCTCGCTGTCGCGGAAAAAAACGCGAAACGCTACACTCGACACGCACACGGTATACGGCCACGAAACACTATTAATTGCGTCATTAGGTCTTGCACGAGATCAAAAGATAAGATAAATAAAGGTAATGAGTGAGCGTGCGGCGCATGTCTGTAGAATTGTTAAGAAACAAGGGGAGAAAAACGTACTTTCCTTATTCAATTAACATTTCAATGTATCCTTTGATCTTTACGTTTCTCCAATTAACGTAGAACTATGAAATCGCTACGGAGAGATTCTATCAGCACGATAATCGATCGGGGAAAGAAATCAGTTGGGACTGCCGATCCAATAGCGATTTTTAACCCTTCGAGTGGCGACGTATTTTCATTACCTTCAGAGTGATAACCAGGATCATTCGTGTCTTCTTCGATTTTTCTCCTCTTAAGCTGCTCTCGGTAAAATCTCGAAAAATGATCGCAACCTCCTTCACTCTTCCACCCGAATACCACGTAGCTAATTCGTCAACAATAAATTGCGAAATATTTCATTCTGAATGATTTGATTTTGAGAAACGAGCACTTCTTACAATGGCCCGGACGATCCTTGTTGCCACTCGGAGGGTTGATATCGGACGCGAGTGGAGATCGTCGGTGACACTTGAGACGCGGAATACTACCGGTTACCCGGTATCGGAAGACGATACGCGGATGGATCTGTGGGAGCTTCGAAGCTCGGATCACTCGTTAGCCGATAAGTGGCCGATCCTTCATCTGGAAACGATATTGGGTACCGATTACATCGGGGCTATAAGTTTCTCGTAAAGAGCACGTTAAGGTACACCGCGTGCCGACCGGTAGCAGCACTCGCAGGCACTATCTGAGAAATAGTAGGAGGCTGAGAGGCGACTTCCGCGCCAACTAGTTTTAACGACGAGCCACCGCCGCCGCCTCCCTCGCGCTCTGCTCCTCTTGTTTGCTCGCATCGACATGCACCGATGCACTCGCGATGCACCGGTACACGCCGAAGGACGACGCGGAACCGACGCGCGTCCGATCAAAACGAGCAAACCGCCGTGTCGCGACGCGACGGTAATCTGTAGCAACGGCTGATAATCGAATCGGCGATACGAGCGCGACGAGAAGGCGTACAGAGAGCCCCGCGAACTTCGATATCGCTAGGATTTATGCCATCTATTAATATAATGTGTATCAGCTCTTAATCTATGATCTCTCTGTACGGACGAGCGCGGAATTATCTTCGGAGCGCGACAACGCGCTCGCGAAAAGCCAGCCGGGAAAAAGCGAACGCTAACGGTGAATCTTGCGGTCGATATATTATATTTGCATATTTAATATCGGAATATACGCACGTGAATGCGTTTCCGCTTTCTACGGCGAAATAATACGCCATTATATTCAGCCGTGCAAGTTAGCATTAGAATACCGACGATGTTTACTCGCGCGGTATCCCGACGTCTCTACGCGCATTTCGCGAGTGTGCGTATCCGCTACGCGACTAATGAATATTTATACCAGTCACGCGGGAATGCAATGGTGACACCTGTAGCCGAACGCACCTTACGCGAATTCGCAAACAAGAACCGGTTCCATTCGGGCCGTTTAGTGTAAAGTCTCTAAAACAGATGTATCAACATCGCGCGGACCAGGAAGGGGATGCCGAGCGAAGCGAGAAACGACTCGGGACGTGCCCGTGGGAGGATTTCGCGGTGAGGACCGTCGACGTCGATTTGTCGCGCCCGTGCCTCGCCGAGGCCTGGCGATCGGCGAAACGATCGATAAAGAGCCGGTGGTACCCCCGAGTGAGCAGTATTATGGCACACTGAGGAAACGATCCGTCGTAAAAGGGAGACGCGGCGAGATCTCAAGACGATCGCACGCGTGACTCAAATCGGATCGAATAACTCGTTTAATTGAGAAAGACGATCAAGACACGGGGGTTATTCGCTCGGCTCGGCCCGTCAGGGCGAGAGAAATCATCGTCCGCCGCGCTCTTACGGCGATCCGCTCGATAATGAGAAATATTACGGGCGAAGCTCACGGCGCCGATTCCTTTCACCGCTCGAATCTTCCGTTTCGGGCCCGAAGTAGCCGAGGAACCGAGCACTCGGTTCCACGGAATCAGAATCGATTATCGTAAAGAGAAAGTGGGCGTCAATTTTTCACCCAGCCCTCTCTCAATTCAGCGCCGGTCTTCCTCTTCATCATCCTCCTCCTTCTCCACCTTCTCGTTCATGCATGCGCAGAGATTTAGTCGGACGGACGTGTGTGGAACGCCGAAACCTCCGGTGACTGCCCGAGTCGAAATTTCGGTTCTACATTGAGTCTCATCAAGTCTTCACAGGTCTCGTATTGCACTCCCTTTCATGTTACAAATGGCAAGATATTTTCATTTTCTCTATTTGAAGACTTAATGAGACTTGAGGTAGAACGAAAATTTCGACTCGGGTGACTCGACTATGAACGCGCTTTTAATAGCGAAATGGAAAATAGCACGCCCAATCGCGCATGAGATAAAAGTGGAACGACCTGAGACTTTCGAATACGACGCTTTATACGTGCGCGATGAATAGTCGGGCGGAATGTACAAGCGCAGGTATTAGTTCCTAATCGCTCACGTCGGGTCTCACACCATGTAATTTATCGCGGGATTTAATTATGAAATACGCGGGATAACGGATCAACCATTTCCCGGGCACGAATGGAGCGCAGAGATATAAGAAGGTCTGCATGCAACATTGACTCACGTTAACTTTGGCGAGATAAAGCTCCAGTTCCCTGTACGGATCCATCTCCGCTGCCTTCTCGCTCGTCACCTTGTCATCATCATCGCTCTCCACGATCTTCAAACGATTCGGCGTCTTCGCGATGACGGCCGAGCCGTTTTGCAGACGACCGCCGCTTTCTTGCACGGTCTCCATGCTCACGCGGTCACCTCGACGATTTTACACGCATTTTCTCGTGCACCTGCAACGATCATCATCGACAACGCCGGTTAGTTTTAACAAAATGCAAAATCAAACAGCGATACACATTCATTTCGTCTGATTCAAACGGTGCGCAAGATAATCGTATTCAGCATGGATGTACAATGTAGCTTATGAGTTGCGAAGGGATTCAAAATTGTTGTAACTTTTGTTAATTTTTTTCATTTATCAGATTTAAATGACGGCGATATGCTCTTTGCGTTGAAACAATAGAACGCTGATTTTCAAAATAAAATTGTATGGATTTTCGCTCGTTCTTTGACGGTGAAATACTCAATTTCCCGAACGTTCCTTTCAAAATTGGAAAGAAATGAAATGAGAAAATTAACAAATACAAAAGTTATAACAATTTCGAGCCCTTTCGTGACTTACAGGCTATCCTGTACAAGTAAACTACAGATTGATGATATAAATATAAAAAGAAAACTTCAACTAAACGAAATTCAAGATGTGAACCACATGAACCGTTTGAATAATTTATATTGCATATCTATTATATTAATATTATATTGCGTATAACATTATAATCTAATACCTCGCGAAAGGTTCGAAGTCTAAAGCGTGATAAACAATCTCGTCTATTATAAGATCGATACGCATTAATCAGGTGGGCGAAGAAATAACGCAATAAAGAAACAATAAGGCTCATCGGGAACGGGTGCTTAATCGAAAACGAGAAAAGGGCGAAAAGGCGAAAGGATCTACGGGTGTATTCTCGCAAAGGCATTATAATTAGCCTCGCCGTGACTCACCGCGGCAGCGTCGCGCGCGCGGTCCGGTATAATCCCGGCTTGTCAAACAGTTGAAAAGGGTAAAATGACCACCTGCGCTGTTGTGATTGCATTTGGCTAAATTTAGCGGCCGCACCGAGCGTTACTCACTGTGGCTAATTATATTTCGCAGATTAGCCGCCTCGGCCGAACGTGAGGAGGTCTAATCTGAAATCAGTGCTGCACTTTGTGTTCTCTTCCCCGCCGTCGCGACGACCTGCCCACACGACCTCATTTTCTCTCTTCTTTTTTCGCAGACGAAAAATATCCTCCCCGGCGCGTAAATATTGAAAAAAAAGCGCGACGAACGATCCAATCGTGGCAATTTTCATGCCTGCTGTGCACTGGTCCTTTCGTAAACGTTACACGGTATCTTTGTGCAGTTACGGCACGTTATTCGAGTGCCTGGCTTCGCGTGTGTTGGGCTCTCCCCGTGAACGTTATTGTACGGTATCGGCCATTAGCTCGCGAACGGAAAATTAGATTTCACGATGAAACGCGATCAAAACGATCAAACGTGAGCTTTAAAGGCTTCACGTAAAAAAAAAACCACATCACTCGTGGAAAAAACTTTCGCGACACGTGCGGAATATTAAACGTGTTGGAATATTAAATTGTTTGACGAGAGTTAAACGTTCTGTCAGTCTTGAGCGAGTGTTCGCAGACCGGCGATTAGCATGGTAAATATTCTGGCATTGTCGGGCGGATGAAGTGGTTCCTTCGATGCGAAGTGACACGAGGGGCGTGAAGTGCTATAAAGCGCAGTCTAGCGGAATAATTTCTCTCATTTCTCGCCGAGCTGCGCGGCGGAAACGCGACGCGGCAACGCGGATTGATATTTCTGCTCTCGGGACTTTACGCTAATGGCATCGAGACAAGCGCGATAGCGAAACTGAAATACGAGCGTCGCTTTTACGCTCCGGCGATCTCGCTAATAATAATTAACATTACATTTTGTACTCACTTTCGACTACCGTATATGACTTTATCGCAATGCGTATCTGCTCACACGCTCGACGGAAAAAATCGCGCCGATGGTAGCGCGATCTTATCTATTAGCGTAATATGGCTCTATCGGGTTTTATTGTTATTGCAAAACGATCCCCCGTAATCTGTTACGTAAAACGCTCCGTCAATTTCTATGACTGTTGGGAAAAATCCCGGCGATCGATTATATCTTACAGCTGAACTATCATGATTCATTAATCTCGAGACAACGTTATTAGCCATACATATCGCACACACGCCGTGAAAAATATAATTTATCTTATCTCGCGAAATCCTTCGCAAATTTTTCCGATAATTGCAAAACAGCTCGCGATTGCGCGCCACGAAGTAGAATTTCTCTCCTGATAAAAACGTTATTTAACCGCTAAATATCTTTCACGCATTCTTTCACGTAGGCCGACTTTGTAAGTAAATAGAAGGGAAATGAAAAAGCGCGCCCCTTAACGCGAGTTACGCAACGAATCGTATCGTATAATTAAATCTGCGTTTTATTTAATCCTACATCTGCGTGTCGTGTGCGTACAAATCGATATATATATATATATATACGCGCGGGCGATCACAAGATCGCGAATCGATTGCATCGCAGTCTGGCCTGAAGAATACAATGCGGCCGCGACCGTTACAATCATTGAACTCACCAACAATGAAGTCATGCATGAGAACACGAGTCGCCTGCCCGCGCGCACGTAATATTAGAAAATCACCGGATGTCTAATCGTGGCCGGCAGCCAATACGTCAGGTGATTTCACAGGTGAACGATGAAGTGCTTGTCGCACCTTAAGCACCGTCTGCTTCGAACAACAGCCGCATGTAAGTTCCGCGTGAATTTGCAATTAGCGCCTTAACGTCGAGATCTTCTTCCCAAGACACCAAAGGAGCCGAAGCGCCGAACGAATTATCGCAATCTTACATCATTGTCGGAAATGAACGAAGAACAAATAAATGTGTCGAACAAATTTAACACCAAAACTACCAAAGCGGTCACAAAATGAGCGGTTTGTAATTTTTTCTTATAATAATTACTCCACTTTCTAACGGTGCATTCTCTGAGATTAATCGTCATTTTTGTCGCAATGTGCGAACGAATAAATATGTTTCCCTTTGCATTGCGTATTCTTTCAAAAATCTGATTTAAACCGCTCCGGTAGAAAGGTACACGTTAATCGTCGGTAGTTTTAGCGTTAAGTGTCATGAGAACGTCACGTAATCTCGAGGAAAAGAAACGCGTTCTAAAAGAGATTGCGGTGAAAGTATTTCTTTTCTCCCTCTTCTCAATTTCCTCCCTGCATTTATTTATTTGTTTCGCGCTTCGCGATAGAAAGATCAGAATCGGGTGAAATTCAAACGCCAGACATTTCAATGGAATTAACGAGCGAGATCTTACGAGAGCCGATTTGAAGAGTTCCTTTAAAGAGATCTGTGAATAACACGTGACCGCGAACCTTCCTTTGAGTCCCATTCATCGCGTTTAATTCCCCGGAAACGGCGATCGATGAAATTTCAGTTTGCCAGTTCTCGGGACTCAGCGTGGGACGTGGGAATTTGTGGCTCGCGATAGGTAGGTGAGGGCTGTCAGAATGCCTCGTAAACAACTGCGATACCGATGCCTCCCGGTACCGATACCTCACCCTAATCGAATGCCATTCTGCGAGAGGCGGACACGGCCAGTTGGTTAAACTGAATTAAACGGCCCGCTAGCTGCGAGAAAGAAAGAGAAGGAGGGAGGGATAGAAAGAGAGAGAGAGAGAGAGAGAGAGACGCGCGTCGTTCTTATCAGCTGGGAATTATTGCCGGTAATTTACATCGCAATCCTTTTGCTCCTGGGCGCGTTCACACCTGGGTGGCTCGCAGGAATACAGACGGAACGGATCGGAGATCGACATTGCGGTATGTATTAACTACCAACGCCTTCCCACGTAAAATACTGAGACACCGAGGTTTCATCAGTATGATGTAAATTTTATATTTCGATGATCTGTGCGTTCAACTTTGTGATATTTACATTGCAAATTGTGATATTGCACGTTAGAAATTGAGTGTATTATCTAAGTAGTTATCGCATAGTACAGCGTATGTCGCGCAGTCTTTTAAAAATGTAATCCGATCACCGGAGGCGATCGAGATATTTTTGTAAAAGAAAATATAGTATAGTTGAAAAGTGTAAAATAATAAAATTTATCCATTATCTGCGAAGAAATGTCTGAAAATTGCGCTGTTACTTGCATACGTTGCATCGAAATCGAGGTACTTTTACGTAAGAGAAAATTAAGCCACGTGCGATCTCGCGCGTATTGACCTGCCACTTAGATACCGGCGATATCCGAACATTTCCGCGTGTGTGGGCGGCCATAACTCAATTCGCGAGATTTTTACCCCGTCGATGCTATCCGCTCTTCCCGAGAGGTGCGATACGTCGGCGATAATTGTTTTTAGTATCTCCTCACCACCAGGAAGGTGGTGTCGGACACGACGGCTCCGTGCTAATCGAAATCGTAAATCCGGCCGATAAGAGCGCCGAGCGTTCCCGCATACGACATATTTGCTACGCGGAACGGAGCTTTAAAGCTGTTTTCGCCTCTTTTTACAACGCGTTATTATCACGCTTTCTCTCTCTCTCTCTCTCTCTCTCTCTCTCTCTCTCGCGCGTTCTTACCTTCCGCGGGATCTTTGCTCCCGTCGCCGGTTATACGCGGCACGATCTCGCGCTGCGCGTGGGCGAAAATTATCAGCGATTTGACGAGTCTTCTCGCGAATATCCCGATTATGAAAACAGCACTGAGAGGATAATTATAAAAACCGTTGTTACGTAGCTGGAAGTCGCACGATCGAATCATATTTCAATAATTCAGAAGCCGGTAATAGACGGTGTGGAAATTCAATTATTACAATTCAGAGGATATATATGTAACACATTAAAATAATTCAGAAGATATATATATATATAAAATTGTAGTAAATCGAAATATAAATTACAGAAGGTGCGGTGTCAAGATTGCTTCATAATCGAAATGAAGACTGAGACTTCGTTATCAATAGATAGATTAGATTAGACAAGTATATGAAGACATCGTAAAATGCACTTCTGACGTTCAAGTTCCTGCATCCTCCGTCGACACTGACGTCTGCCGAGTAAAATCGACGCTCCGAAAACGGCAGACGGCTGTTAAAACTTGGGAAAAAACCCATGCCGACAGATAT